TGTTTAAAAAAGTAGATGATACATTTTTAGAGTTCAGATAAATCTCTTAATTATAAGAGAAATACAGAAGAAAATGAGGATATGAGCATTTCTTCATGGCACTTTAAAGTTTGTGTTTGCATATTACCAAAATACAAAATACTGACTTCCACCCCTTTTTCTACACTTTGTCTCCATGCAATCATATTTTTTAGTATGTTTTATTAGGACTTGCATGGTAGTTCACCATTTTTGACGTTTTTACCTTTTTACCCTAAAACAGCTTAGATCAAATTCATTTGCTAGAATGTCCCAGTCAAAGTCTAGACCTAAATCTAATTGAGAATATGTGACAAAACTGTGCATCCATTCTGACTGATTGACATTCTGAAATAGGTACTTTGCAGTAAAGAGTGGGCAAACACTTCAATCTCTAGAAACCTGATTGTGACCCTAAAAGAAGTTCTGGTGTAGTTTTACTGAGTATCGACCCAAAGATGCTCAATACAAATTCCTGCCACAGTTTTCAGATTTTTATTCGGAAACTGTATCCTTGACTGACTCATCCTGATCCTCTTTACTCAGTGGATTATTGTACCAAATACAGTGATCCTCAAGATATTTTCTTTTTCTTCACTATAATTGTCATTGAGTTGATTTCCGTGGAGTTGACTCTTAAAGTACCTGTTTTACATTAATTTCTGATTTATATTAGTACAGTTATTCTCTATTACACCTTTTTAGTTTGAAAATGTTCCAATGTAATTCTCTCAGAAACCTTCCAGTACTTGCCTTCGTAGAGAGGTTGTTTGCTACAGTACGAACTGCTTGGCCTGCCAAGGGCAAACCTTTCCATCTCCCTCCCTTCTAAAGGAGATAATGATTCTCTTTTTCTTGGAATAGGATTGCATTTTCTCTCTCTCTTGTCCTCCGTCCCTCTCTCACCTTTACCTTTACATCCACCCAGCCCACCTGCACCCTCCCCCCAGGCGTCCACTGCTGGCACTCCCTCCGCACCAACTATGCTCTATCGCTCCGTCGCAGCGCAAGGCGAGGGATGAGAGACAAATCGAAAACGCCTTATTTCCCCCTCAGCCCCTCTCACCATGCCAGATTGAATTTGAGGCTTTTCATCTTCTTTCTCATCTTTCTCCCTCCCTGCCTCCCTTGGCGTCCACTCAGAATTACCTGCAACCACAACAGCTTGATGACGTTATATCGCTTATTCATGCAGAGGGAGACAGTCGGCAGGTCTTTGCTTTGATTCTTTCGACTCACTTAAAGTCCTCCGCTTCTGTCATTTAGGTCCAGAAATGGTCAGTTTCAACATGTGTCCGGGATCCTGTCTCGGTTTACCATTTCTTTTAGAAATCCACATGTATCCAAATGTCTGGATTAGCTTTGTTAGCTTCATGCACAATGATAAAAACCATAAGTAAAAATGTCTTTTTAAACTCTTTTTAACTCCTCCTTGCATTTCTAAGACATTTCTCTTTTTTTCTTGTCAAATACGCCATACAAAAACCAGGAATTAAGTTTGTAGCGTAGAAAAATATATAAATGTAAATGTGCAACATAAAAGTGGTATAATTGAGATTTAATCACCAGATAAGCCTCATGGCACTGAGGTTTTTTTTTTTGTTTTTTTTTTTTGGGTAACAACTGATACAAAATTGATTCAACTATAACTCGTACATCTCTCCAATAATCAAACTAATCTCACGTTACGCTATATTACCCCACAGTAGCCTGCTATTGGAAACACTGGGTGTGTAGGGCTTCCCCTGACACTGTTTTAGCCAACTCCAGTCTTTAAGGCTTGGTGTCCTGCTGGAGATCGGCACCTGCAAGGATGAGTGTGTATAAATAATAGATGGATGGATACAGAATATTGGGCCTTAAGGACTGACATTTTTCACCACTGGTTTAATACCACACAATGATATAAATATCAGGGTAACATGAAATCTTTAGGGCAGTTGCACAGTACGACCTTTTCTGCTTATGCAATCGTGCAATGTCTCCTCCATCTGCAGTGGGAAAAATAAGTGTTTGATACACCAGCAATTTGTCAAATCTTCCTACTTACAAAGAATGGAGAGTAATGTCATGGGTAAACCTCAAATGTGGGGGAATATTACAAATTAAAATAAAAACTTAATTTGCATTTTATTGAACAAAATAAGTATTTGAATAGAGCTTTTTTCTATAAGTACGGGAGTCAAACATTTCCTGTACTTCTTGACCAGGTTTGCAGACAGGGCAGCAGAAATGTTTATCTACTTCAAACCTTTAAGACTTTGCTCTGTGCTCTCTTTCGGTCATAGACCAGGTCCTGCCTTTGAGCTCTGGGCTTATTCCTCACCTTTATCATGATCTTTGATTCTCCACTAGATCAGATGTTGCATGAAGTTTCAATCTGAGGGAAATCTACAGTCATTTTGACTGTCTTCAGTTTTCTGAAACAATAGTTGCCTTCTCACTAGACTGTTTACTAATGGTCCTTTAGCCAATTCCAGCCATATGCAGGTCTATAGTTTTTTTTCCTTTGGACTGACCAATGCTGGAAATGTTGTTTCACACAATATAGTGCAAATAAATTATTTAAAAATCATTCAATTTGATTTTCTGGATTTATCTGCATTATATTTCTAAAGACATCCTTGACTTTTTGATAACCAGTTCATGCACTGTTGGTTGGACATTCCTGCAAGTTTATGAGACAAAGCTTAACTTTTCAAGGCTCAGGTACACCTGTCTAGAGAGAATGCAGATGCCGAGAACGTTCCTTTCAACTTGAAGTGCAAAAGATTTACTACAGTTCTTATTACTAACATTGAATGTTGGTGCACATTTATTTAATAATTGGAAGCAGAAGAAGAACTCATGAAGGAACTGAATTCCTAATACGACTCTACAGAGCTTGTGTTACATTGATGTTTTGAAGTTTGTGTAACATTTTGTAATACGGATATGTGTGTTCATATCCAGCTATCAAACAAATATACATTCAGACATATTCCCGTTAAAAAAAGAATCATACATGTTTTCCATCTTAAATTCTCCTTTTCCAAATCTCTTTACCCTTGAGGAGTTTGTAGTCATTTAATCCCCAATTGAAATTTCAAGGCGCCCGTCCTACACAGCTCTTTGTGAGACTTAAGCCTCTGATTGCGGCTGATTTTAGAATCAGTTTTAGACTTTTATAACCAAGACGGTCTAATGTGAAAATCAAAACTGACAGACACATTTGCATTGGCTGCTGATTAGACCACACAGCCTACACTGGGCAGTAGGAGGAATGAGAATAAAAGTGTATGCTAAAATCAGTCATGTTTTACATTTAGTTTTGCGTTCCTATAAGAGCTCTAATTTGTTTACTCGTTATATACCAGCACCAATAATTAAAAGTCTGGAAATAGAAAATTGCGCCGCGTCGTGTGCGGTGGAAGGCGAGCGTAGGTTTGGTTCTGGGTCGCTGAATGAGCGCGCCGAAGCGCGGCGCACCTGGCTGCTGCTACCAGAGAAAAATGACTCCTATCTCCCACCTTTCCTCCCTTCACCCCACCTTTTCATTTTCAATTATGGGTTGGAATATGAATCGTTAATAGGGTGATAATTGTGCTAGCATATTTGCTGTCACCCACCATTAGCTCAGATTAATTAGCCCATTTACTTTAGTTTAAGAAAGTGTCTGGCTGAGGAATGGGAGCAATGATGGAAGGCGAATAAGAGAGAGAATGGATTCACCACAATCTGTTCCATATCACTTGTGCCATCTTTTTTCTGCCTTCACTCGCTCTCTTTATGATGTTCAATTTGTTTTTTTCTCTCTTTGCAACTTTTACTTTCTTTTTCTGATATACCTGAGATTGTGCTCATCTTCCCTGGCTTAGCAACATTTTTTGTTTTGTTCTCTGATGCTTTTGTGATACTTTTGGAGTGAATACGATCCAAGTTGAGCAGTTATTTTTGGCAACATGAGCCAGTAGTATCACCTATGCAACTGATTTTGGTTTTTGAAATGTATATTCTTAGTAGACGTAACCAAAATTGCATTAACTTGAAGATTTATAAGTGAATCAGTGTGTCTGTGAGTACACTGGATAAACTGATGAAGGAATGATGGATGAAGGAAAGAACTAAGGAACAGATGAACAGATAAAGGATGGAAAGAGTGAACAATCAAATGAACAGTGGAAAAGAGATGAGGAAAGAAGCAAATGGATGAACAGACAAAAATATGGATGAGTGGATGCACAAAGGAAGTAAAAAAAGCATAGAGCACCTTTTCGTCTATGTTGCTTGCAACATTTACTTCTTCGTTGTCCTGATTCCGATTTTATGTTGTCCAAACATGTCATATCTGCTCAAGTCTACCAAAATGTCTAAATGGAATGGCATTCGAAACTTTTTATTTTATTTTATGTAGACTCTTGAGAAGGCACCCAGTTGTACATGTAGAACCAACTTTTGACAAATCCCTGCCAATTATTTTTTTTTTTTTAGTTCAAAAAAAGTGATACAGTCCAAAGGTTTGCTGGTCATTGTCAGTTGGAGCGAATATTTCCAATTACAGGAAATCATTTGATTCGATGTTGGTTTGAAAGTGTTGCTTAATGGATCTCTAATCTCTCCCTCCACCTTGGGCTAAGTCACATGTGTGCAGCAGTGGAGTGACTTGGCCATGTCAGGAGCTGCATATCTCTCTGCAGGCAGTGGGAAATGAGGTCTAATCGCAGGGATATTAAAGTCACAATAGACTGCTCCTGCTATTAAGGCCTGTCAGCCCTGGGCCCCTCTCTCACCTTGATATCTCTCCGTCTCTGAATATTTATATGCTTACATCAGGAGCTCCTTACACAGTGCAATGTGTGCATGTTTCTTTGTGTGTGTGTGTGTGTGTGTGTGTGTGTGTGTGTGCTGCTATGTCAAGCGAGGAAATTCATCATTGCTGTAGCCACTCAAACTCTCTGAATATGTTTATGTGGTTGTGTGTTGCTCCGTCTGTGCTTACACGGTCTGCCTTCCTGTCCTCCGATCCTCAGGTGCAGCGGGGGCGAGGCTGCTCGCGGGTCAAAACAAACCTGACGCCATGGATGTGGATGAGGAAGAAAACATGAGTGAGTCCATCTTGATTTTTCTCATTTGTTCATCCATCTTTTTTTTGCCTTTACTTTCCTTCCTTCCTTTCTGTCTGCCTGCTTGTTTATCCTTCTCTTTTTATGTGTTGCGTAATCAGTGTGATCTTTTGTTGTCTACATACGACCTTTTAAAAAATACATTTGTAAGCATATGTCTAATAACCAAAATAATTGAAGAATAAAGTTTTAAAGTATATTTTTGAAAATGGAAAAAAACATGTGTTGGGAAATACTTGATTATTTAGATCTGAGTGAGAATATAGTTGTAACAATAAAGTATGTTTAAAGCTGAGGTTTTACATGATATAATGATCTATTTTTTGCCAGGTTCTAAAAGTATTTACATCTATCCTCAAGTGTCCAATAACCATCACCATGGTAACTTGAAGTATTTGAATGCTGTGTGATTCTTCACAACTACATTTGTTTTATTTCATTGAATAACTCTAACATCAGCAATTTCTCAATTATTATTATTACAGATAAACTAAATCAACTCATTGACTGCAAGGTGCCCCAGTTTGAGGCTGGAAAACAAGACCAAACAATCAACCCTCCACCACACCTGACAATAATTACCCTTTCACATCATTGTATATATGCATCAAGTCCCAATGGAATAATAAAATATGCTACCACAGCTAAATACTGTTTCAGCCTCAGTTAAATGCACCATGTTATGTATTTAACATTGTAGAATTTATACAGCTACTGATCTTCCAATAAATGTCCAGCAAAATTTTTAATGTGCAACACTGTGCAAAAGCTTTGTCTGCACTGTGAAAGATTGACTTCCCTCAGATATTTGAAACTGAGGAGAGTTTCAAACATCTGAGTTCCTCATTGTGCATTCAAATATTGTTCCAAGATGGTAAGTTGATCCTTATATATGGGAATAAAAAAATAGTTACATCACTGGAAAAATAACTGACCTGTTCCAAAATCAAAATACCTTCAGTCCGATGGGAATTGCAATAATCGATTTTTCACACACAACTTATAGGATTAGATTTAACTAATTTTAGAACCTGGTCAGAAAAAAATTCCAAAGGCCGTGAATTGAAAGATGGATGTACTTTTTTCAAAATGACAGTTTATTTTATGCCCCGTCTTAAAAAATACACTCAAACTGACCCATCCACACATAAATATGTCACATTAACTTTAACCAACTCTCAGAGATGAGCTAATCTCCAAATCTTTGATACCTCAGATACTCCTCTGTCTTTTATTGAACTTTAGACATTTTTGTTTGCAATGCCCACAACAAACACGTTTAAAGTCAGCTGCAGTCGCAACAACATCCGAGCTCGTGATAAAAATGAAAAAGTCTGATTGTAGTGTCATACTATCTGTCTTCACTTTGTAGAATGGTATGTTATGTTGTGAAATAAGCAGCTACAAAATTGTCTTTGTTGACTTTCAAAGGCTCTGAAGCCTGGTTCTTACATTTTTACTGCCAGATATACATAAAAGATGTATCTGAAGATAAAACGCAGCCCTCGCTCACACAGTCCTGTTTCTTTAATACCAAGGGGACACCAGGGGAAGAAAAGAAAGAAAGTTTTAGCTTTCATGTGACAACCCGGGGAGCTCTTGAAGCTCTTTTATCTAATGAAATGAACCAAAACAAAACCCCAACAAGATAGACACACCTAAAATGAAGTCATGACTGTTTCACTCAGTTCATTTGGAAAGGATCTTTTAAATATTTCCTCTCCATTATAATTAATATTGTCTACAAATGCTGATTACACAAATTGCAGCATGACAGTGACAACAACTGCATGCCTGTTCCATAATTTAATGCATGGCTCTTGCTTTATGCATTTTTTTTCCCTCTTTATGTCGGATCCAGTTTGTGATTTTTCACCACTACTGGGTATTAAGATTCTCATTGTTACAATAAACAAAATTATTAAATGTTTTATTTGTGGGTAAGAGGTATGTAACTGAATAACTTTGTGTATAATGATAATAACAGTCATAGAAGCTCCAGATTGTTCTGTGTGTCATTTCTTCACTGTATTTGTGCAGCTTGCAAGAGGTTTCTTAATGTATGTTTATTGGTTTTACTGACTATCAACACCTCAGAGATACAGATCTTAAAGAGATGTACCATAGTTAGCTGAAGCTCAAATTTAACACAGTAATAAATGATTAAATACTCTGTATTTGAAGAGTCCAGGTTGCAGCACCATTCTGATCGGTGCCATATTGTCTGGGTATTTATTTGTTTTCATGGGGTTTTTCCACCAAAACTGTTCCAGAGCTAAACCAGCACTGGTTATTAACTAGTCCTATAGGCACTATAACAGGGAACATTTGGTTTCAACAAATTTGTACAGAACCAATTTTGGTATTTGTCCTACTGCCTCTCCAAATACCTGTTATATTAGCACGTCTGAGTCATGTGTTAGTATGACACATGACTGAATCAGACATTAATTAATTTGATTTATCATCACCACAACACAAATATATTTTCTGTAGAATTGAAGAAATACTATTAGCTACTGACTTTTGTGCAGAAAGTTAACTCAGACAAACCAACAAAAATTGTGAAATTACCACTGATATATTGAATCAAATAACCACATTTCCTACCGTTAGAATATTTGCAGATCACAGTAATTTATTTTGACTTATCCCATGTTTAAATAGGTACAACAAGTCTCTCTGGTGACGATGAAATGATGCTTAGGTGGTGCAAATAGGTCCTCTAAAAGTAGGAAACTACAAAAATCTGATGAAGGGTGAAATGACCAGCACCTTGTAAATCTTGCCCTGATGGAAATACAGTTTAAAAAAAAAAAAATAAAAACACATGCTGGTCAAGCTGCTAAAGTGTTTTCCAGAAAGAATTGGTGTTATGCAAGATCTAGTTCCGGTTTAGCTTTCAAACTGTTTTGGTGGCAAAATAACCTTCACTTTGCGCATTTGTCTTCAAGTTCATTTGCAATGCACCAATACCAATGCTGTAAACGCATGACTACATAAAAAGTGCATGTTTCCAGGTCATAAACTGAATGAGTTGCAGTTTGTGATCTTAGAATCAATTTTTTGTTGTTTTTTTCCTGACTCAGGACATGTCAGTGGCAGTGTGCAGTTGGTAATGGCATGTCAAGACATTTTGTCAACACTCTGCTCTCTGACAGCTCCAAGGGGGGGATCTCAGAGGCGCAGGGTCTTATGAATGACACTTCATTAGAAAACTTTTTTTGTTTGTTTGTTTTGTTTCTTCAGACTTTCCTCATTTTAAATACGGGAGTCTATGTTTTCAAAAAATAAAATCATGTAAATGGTGTAAACTGCATTTTAACCTCCACCGTGTCACCAGTCGAGCCTTTAGGATCCTGCAGTAGGTGGAGTCTTCTCCTTCTGCCTCTTTGATGTACTCTCCTGTTTGCCTGGTCCTCAGCTTCCTCCCCCTGCACTACTTTCCCTGCACTCCCTCAACCCAACCTACAATCCCACTCATGCACACTGCGGCCTCTCTTTCTCTTGAGTACCGCAAGGAGTAACCTATCAAGCCTTTGCTGAAGGATGTTATAAATGAAAATTTTTCCCAACATTCCATCCACTTTGCTAACTAGAATCAGTGATATGTGTTCCCCTTAGTTCAGTATATAATTGGTTTTGGTTTTTCTTCAGAAACGTTAGCGATTTAAGATAAACTGGGTGAAAAAAACCCTTTTGGTCTGGTTTTTGTGTGTGTGTTGTTTGTTTGCATGATATTCTCAAGGCCCTGTCACTGTGCAATGTCAAGTGTCTTCAATGTCTACAACATATTTTTATTTTATCCTAATTTTAGTAATTTTGAACATGAAGATTAGTTAGTTTAATTTTAAATATAAAGATAGCAAAGTAAAATGTTTGCAGAGGTATTCAGAATGCATTAACTGTCATTCTGAAGAAACAGATGTTTTTGTATTTGTCTTCTTTGTGAAATAGGGTTAGAAATTCAATCCTAACTATATCTTATCTTGTTGTTATAAAGGAACACAAATCATTGGTTCAGTTCCAAAGAGTGATAAAGGAATCTATAAATTTTGCATTTACAAGATCCTGCAACGAAGGCGTTGTAAGTTACTCTTTCTGGGCACCGCAGGTTCAAGCAGCACAGACGTTAAGGAAAACCGAAACCTGGACAACGTGTCCTGCAAAGACGGGATGGGAGTCGGTGATCAGCTCCCCAATGGAAGCGGCCATGGCAGTCGAAAGCGCCCCTTAGAGGAGGGCAACAATGGCCACGCGCATTCCAAGTTCCGAGCCAAGAAGCGCAAGAAAACACCTGGACCGGTGCTGCCCAAGAATGCTCTGATGCAGCTGAATGAGATCAAACCAGGTCTCCAGTACAAACTGCTGTCTCAGACTGGGCCGGTCCATGCACCAGTGTTTGTCATGACTGTGGAGGTCAATGGGCAAATGTTTGAGGGCATGGGTCCAACCAAGAAGAAAGCTAAACTGAATGCAGCTGAGAAAGCGCTGCGTTCCTTTGTTCAGTTTCCCAATGCGTCTGAGGCTCACCTGGCCATGGGCCGTACACTGACAGTGAATACAGACTTTACATCAGATCAAGCGGACTTCCCTGACATGCTCTTCAATGGCTTTGAGACACCAGCTGCTCCTGAAGAATCCTTCTATTTAGGCTCCAACGGTACAAACTCACTAGGGGAGTATCCTTTACCCACACCACCTGGCAGCAACCTTGTCCAGGCTCCGTTGCCCTCTCCATCTGCATTCAGCTCACCCTCCACTGGCAAAAACCCGGTCATGATCCTCAATGAGCTCAGGCCAGGCCTCAAATATGACTTTGTCTCAGAGAGTGGTGAGAGTCACGCCAAGAATTTCGTGATGTCAGTAACTGTGGACTCACAGACGTTTGAAGGCTCAGGGCGCAACAAAAAGCTGGCTAAAGCCCGGGCAGCACAGGCCGCCCTCTCTGCTCTCTTCAACATGCAGCTAGACCAGACACCGTCCAGGCAACCCATACCAAGAGAGGGGTTGCAACTTCACCTTCCCCAGGTAAGACATTTTATTAATTTCAGATTTCTCTAGTTTCAAAGAAATGCAAAGAAACTAGACTGTAATTAGTTTAATCTTGCGTATTTATCAGGAATACAATCCTGATAAATCCCCTCAATAGGGGATGTTGGATTGTATTTGGTGCTTTTGGTACCACGTACACCTTTCAGGTAATGATTGAAGGGGTTCAACAAATGCTTACTCAGGTATCGTTTTGAGTTTAATTCAAATAAAAAATACTTCATTAGGTCCAAAGGGAAACTAGATAGAAGTTGAGTAGCAAAATATTTTTTTCTTCAAAATCTTGAACCACCTTTTTAATATGATTGCTACGTAGTGAAGGTGACATTTCCTCTATTGTTATACATCACAAAAATGGAAACAGGTGAATATTGAAGAAAAGAAACATTTCCAGGTCTTTGCTCGTCCTTACCTCATAAAAGCATGCCTCTGTGTAGTTATAGTTGAGTCTGTTTGATTATTTTTTTTGAAATTTCTAAAACCCACATACAACCCAACATGTGATACACAACATCAGACCCATGGGTCTCATAAGAAAACAACACCCAGTGTAATTTTCTCTTTTCAATATCTCACACCAACTCTTATTGCACCTCACACACTGGTTCTATAATTTTATTCACCTCAGCCAACATTACAGCTCTCTGGGCTCCAAACCGGGGCAAAAGTGCGACTAGACGTTCACCATCTTGAACTATGATAAAGCTGAGGATATTAAATCTGTCTTGAGGTAGCTTGATGATGGAAACAGCAACGTCTAAATGTTAAAGTCACTCAGTGTTCATGTGTTCAGCCGATAGTAAGGGAACAGCTTAGTGCCGGTCTGTAGCACAAATGTGCAAAGTTATATAACAATGAGGGGTGTCAAAGACGGGCACAGCTGACATTGATATTAACAGAAATGAGTATATAAGCTTATAAGATATCATCAGTTATTTTCTGACTGCATATTGCTGTAGATTTGTCTCCCTGGTGATCTTAGATGTATAGTCATGGAAAAAACTAAGTGCACCCTTAGTGCTTCCATGGTACTTAAGGGAAAATAGAGGTCAGCAGCTGCTAATCACAATCCGTTGGTTGATTGATAGTCAGCATTGTGACCACCTTTATAATAGCAGAAGTCTTAACACAATGCCAACTTATACATTAGCAATGACCTTGGAGAAGCAATTGAAGCTGCCAATCAATCTGGTTCTGCTTGTAAGATGTCAGAGCGACTAAAGTCCACCAATCTGCAGGGAGAACGATTATTCACGAATGGAAAACATTTCAGAAAGCTTGTGTTTCCAGCAGTGAATGTAACTGCAAATTCACCTCAGAGCCAGACAATGCAGCTCCTCGATAAAATGGAAAAAAGTCCAAGGGCTGCATCTATTAGTCTAAATTGGAGCTGGGATGTCTGTAATTAATTATAAGTCCAGTGTAATGTATTATTGCATTACACTGGATTTATTTGCTAAGGCAATTACAGGTACACAATAAATCTGTTTGTCTTGTAAAGTGCTTTATAAATCGGCACTTTATAAATAAATTGACTAGAATATATTTAGACTGCACAAGTATGGCTTGTCAAGAGAATTTCAGTAACAATGTCATTTAGACACACAAGACCAATGAAGAAATGTTTAAAGTAGTGATGGTAATCGATTAAAATTTTTAATTGCAGGGTCTGTAATTTACTAATCGTATTTTAATCAAAAAATACAAATAGAAAAATAAGCAGCATTTTTAACTCAAAATAGCTTTCTGCTGTTAAATTATTTGTTGAATAAGTAGACATAGCTCAACAACAGTGAGAGAAGAGGGCTTGTCGTCCATCTCTGTTGTTTGTTGATGTCGCTTGTGCGTCAGATTTATGGACCTACCAGAATGGAACATAAAGGTTCCAACTAGAACATTTATGCGAGTAAGTGTTAATATTTTAAAACTTTAAAATCTATGTAATAATTTTTTTTTAATTAACACAATAAAAGTTTAAAGTGAAGCTAAAAGAAGTATATTAACAACAACTGTCAGACATGTTGGTAGAGGGGTGATTATTAGGACTTTGTCATTTTTAACACTCTCTGGACTCGGTCAACTTGCAGGCATGGAGTCGACCAAGAAGTCCTCTGTATACCAAAGTTATTCTAAAGTCAAAATTGAGGCTGTTTGTTTGACAACTTCAGGTTGGCCCAAACTGGATCGTCAACAGGACAGTGATCCCAAACATCACAGAATCTAGAGCTGTACATGAATGAGTCTCTGCAGACCTTCATGAACTGAAGCAACATCGTAAAGAAGTGTGGTGACACCAACAAAGACTTACAGAAAGTTATTCCTACAGAAGCTCATTCTTCTTGGTGTTGAATCAGAATTTGTCCATATTTTTACCCCTGATTATGTTGATGACAAGATTTTACCATAGTAGGTTCTGACAGAGGGGAAACACACCTCAAAGGAACATATTCTTCTGAAGCGAACATTGTACTTTGGTTTACAAAGAGCTAAAACTCCCAACTCATCCACCCTTCAAACTGCACTAATCTATAAAGCTGTCATTGAAGTCTCATTCACACAGGTTATCAGAGAGGTGAAGTTAATTGTCTTCGATGAGAGCCAGTGTGAGAAGAGAGAGAGAACTCAGTCAGCAAAGCTAATCAGCCTGACACATAGTCAACAGGCCTTTCTTCTCTCTTTGTTCACCCTCTCATCTTGTCCTGTAGCCCATTTCAGCCATGACACCCTCAGTAACTTCTCATATTAATTTTCTGCTGCATGATATTTAATTTCAGCTCTACTTTTCTATCTTGTGTAACACTTGTGGGAGAAAATGAGGTGGCAGAATTTGGACCTTAAATTAGTTTCTTATTTGATTGTAATTAGAATTTACCATCAAAATTCAAATTACAAAATTATTGTTGTTTGTGTCTTATTGCACAAACGACAAATAAACCAAAATTTATTTTGAGAGAACAGAGTAAAAAGGAGGTAAAGAAAACTATATTTTTACCGCCATAAAGAGTAAAAGTCCTTGGCAATGAAAACCGAATTACTGGCTTTAAATGGGTGACTCTGAAGTAGCAGGGAAGTAATATAAGACTGATTTCTTTAATTTGTGATCAACCAGCCGTCATCTCTCCTTTTGGTTGTCGTCATTTTCCATCACATTAGCAGTGGTTAAAGACCCAGCACGAGGAGCGGGCCGTCCAAAAGTTAAAGATGTGTGAAGTTCATTTTAGGTTTCCTCAAACGTTCAGCTGGAGATTAAAGCTCTGGAAAGCAGGCGAGCACTTTGCTCTCAACTGAGGCCCACGTTTGCCTGTTTGTTTGTTTGTTTTCTTTGCTCTGATTCGCTGTCAGAAGGGAGATGCTAAACTAAAACTGTCATTCCAAACTCCAACAGCGCTGCTTAAAAGATTGTTATGTTTACCTCAGAGGGGGCAGCCCAGTTTCACTTGTTGCTGTTTTAACGCTTTGACTCGTTTGATGCCGGATGGGAGCGTAGTGACAGGTAGATAGCGCTCCAGCGGCGGATAGCATCAGACATGCTCTATAAGCTGACATATCTGAGGCGAGGGTTTTGTGTTTGTGCGGTTATGTGCATGTCCTCCCGCACGCTTGTCTGTGTCTGCAGGTTCTGGCTGACGCCGTCTCTCGCCTGGTGGTGGATAAGTTCAGTGAGCTGACAGACAACTTCACCTCCCCTCATGCACGAAGAAAAGTCCTGGCAGGAGTCGTCATGACAACAGGTAATATATAGGAGGAGGAGACCCGGTGATGCCTTCCGTGCTTACAAAAAAAAAGGCTTTGGTCATTTAAAAGTATTATTTGGAAGGATAATTAAAACAAAGAGATAAGTGCTTTGGTTGTTAATTGGGTCATGAACAATAGGATCTAAAGATGCAACTTCTCAATATTCTGTTTGGCAGTTTTAGCAGACATCATTCTGTCTCATATAACTACATGCCTCTGGATTTATCTAGACATCGGATCATAACCCAATTCCCTGCAGGAATCTCTAGTAGTAAACCAGGGCTGCTGCTAGAGCTGGTCTTCAACCAGTTCTTTGAAAAAAAGTCACATTTTATTGTTCTACCTTTGTATTCTAAATACCATCGGCAGAAACAAAAGACAATTTTATCTCTTCTTTTCTGAAAACAGACATCCTATTATTTCCAGTTTATCTCGTAACCGTCCTGTTTGGGATTTGTGAGGTGTGAGGATACATCCAGCTGAGCTGAAAAGATGATAGGTTTAAAGTCTTTGAGTAAAAACAATCATATTCTTAGATTTTACAAGAAAATGTCACAAATTTTGCTGTAAAGAATTTGTAACCTTGCTAGTTAGTTCACATTTTGGCTCCCATGCCCATTTCATTTAACCAATGCTACCTATCATCAAACAGGCAACTACAACTATGCTGCTGAATAGCACAGTTTCATTGACTCATAATTTCAAATATATTGATATGTATTGGTTCTCCAATGACCCAAACAGTTGAAAAAATAATATTTGTAAAGAGCAGAAGGAACAATTCTCTAACAGTTTTCTAGAACATCAAATACTGGGAATGTCTGAAGTATTTGTGCCTCTTTTGCTCCCGTTGAGTGTGGTGTGTATAAACTGAGAATAGTAGAGTGGAGTTCACAGTGTCCTGCTGTGTCATTACCAGGTACTTTACTTTTCTGTGAAGTAAAAATCTTGTTTTAAAAACTGGAACTTTTTATGGCTTACCTGACGACCAGTGACTGACATGTGCCTATTCTAAAGTGTATTGGTGCTGGCAAAGCATCTGCCCTTCAGGAGACAGAAGTGTGTGTATGTGTGTGTTTCTGAATGTGCAGCTGAAGATAACTGGAACGAAGCTGACTCCAAACTGCTAGGATTCTCCATTATTGGAGAATCCTAGCATTTAAGTGGCCTGCCTCTCCTCCACAGCAGTCTGCCTTTTCTTAGTCAAGGACCAGCATTTTTAGTGTGCGGACACATGTGATTCACCGGGTGTGTCTGTGTTATTGCCCCCCCGCACCCCAACAGGAACTGATGTGAAGGAAGCACAGGTCATCTGTGTCTCCACGGGAACCAAGTGCATCAACGGTGAGTACATGAGTGACCGCGGCCTGGCACTAAACGACTGCCATGCAGAGATAATCGCCCGACGCTCGCTCATCAGGTACCTCTACACCCAGCTGGAGTTCTACCTCAGGTTAGTGGACAAACACATCCTTCGTTCTGTCTCGTAAGGTGCAGCTGTACATTTCTACAAATGTTCTATATTCCGATTGCATTTTTATGGCTTAAATATAATGTGACGAGCATTCGTTTTTTTTTTGTTTTTTTTTTGCTGTTGGTTTGTGATTGTAGCAACATAAAAGAGGACCATCACAAGTCCATATTTGTGCCATGTGACAAAGGAGGCTACAGGTTACAGGACAACGTTCAGTTTCACCTCTACATCAGCACCTCGCCCTGCGGAGACGCCAGGATTTTCTCTCCGCACGAAGCCGGAGTGGAAGGTGCGAAACCAGACGGCTCTATCGCCATATCTCGTCCTCGGCTCTCAGGACACGTTTTTAATTTCTTCCCGTCTTTACTCAGAATTCAGCTCCAGCCGCTGATTGATTTTATTTAATTAATCGTAGAGTTATGCTTTGCTGTATTTGAATGTTAGTCCAGTGTCCAAAATATGCTTCACAGACGCATTTAAACAAGGCGCTGGTAATTAGAGCGTTTAGTCATTCTCTGTCGTCCTCCATCAGTCTTTCTCCTCCCCAGCCCAACCACTCTGTCTGTCTGATTAACCTCCCTCGTACTCTTGTCAGGCCGCTTTCCATTGCACATGGCAGGCTGAATAGAAAACAGCCACATTCAATTAGTCAGTGAATAGATGGGCGCCTGCTGGTGGAACATCAGAAAACTTTGACAACATAATGTGCACAACATTTTTTGCTTTCTTCTTTTGGAGACACTGGCTTTGTCAGTAAACACGCCAATTTACTAGTGTGAGGGATTTTTTTTTTTGTAAAATGCTGCTCAAAATGCAACACAATTCCAATGATGTCCAAATAATTACACCACTGGCAGTAAGGTTGTAGGCTAATTGGGCTATGTTAAATTGAAAAATGATAAAGACATCTCCGAAGTGTTCAGTCTGTCAGCAGTAAACATGTTAAATATGTTCCCCTTGTATAGAAGCTAAGGAGGCAGGTACAGAAACCTCTACAAATGTTTCCCAGTTACTGTTTCAGCACATAATTAAAAAATCAAGATTAAGAAAAAAAATGCAGATGTTATTTTTTTTTCTTTAAATACATTATCATGTTTCAAGTGTGCGACAGAATGCAGGTTAGCATTGTCTTGCAAAAAGAAACAAGGCTTTCTGCCTTAAATAAAGTCAAATATACATCCAGGTACTGATGCAAAAAAATGCAAGAACCAAGTAAGAAATATAAACTGAATGGTAAAATCATGAAAACGTTTGTGTTCACTACATAGAGGACTGGATTGTAGACGGGGGCAGCAGCTTGCTGCTCGATGCTTGTCATTCTATCTGAATGCTGTGATACTTGGCAGTCATGCAAATATATGTTTTGTAAAACTATGAAAGTTAAATTTGATGATTTTATATTATTTTGTTGTTTTCACATAACCATAGGCATCGGTGCAATGGTGTATTAATTAAAGACAAAATAGGAAGAGGAAATTTCTACAAAAACAACTTAATCTCAGAAACTTTCTAGAAAAAACAAAAACAATTTTGAGTTCAGAAAATTCAATGTTTTTTCTAGAAAATTTCTGGGATTGATCTCAAAATTGCAGTTTTATTTTTTCTAGCAGATTTTAGACTTTGCAAACTCAGAAATGTTCTTGTTTTTTTTTTCCTAAAATTTTTTTTCTTCATAAATTTACACATGAATGGCCCTGATGTGCCGTTTGCATTGCACACATACTGCATGTATATTTTCTGAATATTACCCAATATCTAACACTAAATCATGTAACACTTCATCCATTGTTTATATTGTAGCGCTCACTTTTTATGTCCCTTAGCATAAGGCAAGGCAAGGCAAGGCAAG